GTGGTGGTTGGGCACCAGCTAGTTCTTCTGATCTCAGGGTCATGGGGACCCAGGTTTGTGTGGTCCCGGAGTCCCACTGCACTAACTGTTCCCATCTGTCTTAGATGTTCATCACTCTTCTTTCTTCCAGACTGGGAGACAACAGTATTTGCACCTTGGAGAGTTGCTCATGAGTTTTTAAGACCCCAGCCACGACTCACCACAGTATGAGACAGAGTTTGTAGACTATTGTGTTAGTCCAGGTGGACTAGAGAAACAAATCCAGGGAGACTCACAGGTGTATAAGAAAGGGCTTTATTCCTCCCCGCTCCCACTACCATGACTCAAATTCGACCTTGCAAGTCTGGCTAGACCAGAGGAGGTACACTGGTACAGATAGGAACTGAAAATACAGGGAATCCAGGGCGGATGAGCCCTGCAGGACCAGTGGTGTGAGTGGCGAAACAGGGAGGGTAAAGGGAGAATGGGTAGGAAAGAGGGAACCGATTACAAGGAACTATATGTGACCTCCTCCCTGGGGGACAGACAACCGAAAAGTGGGTGAAGGGAGACTCGGACAGGGCAAGATATGACGAAATAACAATTTATAAACTATCAAGGACTCATGAGGGAGGGGGGAGCGGGGAGGGAGGGGGAAAATGAGGACCTAATGTCGGGGGCTTAAGTGGAGAGAAAATGTTTTGAGAATGGTGTACAAATGCGCTTTACACAATCGATGCATGTATGGATTGTGATAACAGTTATATGAGCCCCTAATAAAATGTTTAAAAAATAAAAAAAAAGAAAGGGCTTTATATCCAGGAGCAATGGAATATTGAGAAAACATCCCAGCCTAGTCCAGAGCAAGTCCGTAAGTCCGATATTAGCCCAAATGTCCGATACCAATCTATAAACTCCTCTTCGGACTCAAGCAACACATGCAATGATGCCGAGGGCAGGAAGATCACAGGGCAGTGGGCGGAAAGTCTTGTGGATCCAGTGGCGGTGGAAGCATCTCATCACAGGTGTGGGTCTCCACGTGGCTCCAGATCCAGGGCTCTGGCTGCATCAGCGTAGCTTTTTTAGACTCCTCTTTGGTAATGTCTTACAGGGAGTAAGCCTGTGTGTATCTGGCCTCCAGTGAGCTATTTATCTCCGTGGTACCTCCAAGTGAGGTCCTCAAGCTACAACCTGATGGCCAGGCTAGACTCCGCCCTTTACTCTTACTACTCTCTAATTGACAACAGATTATGTAACTACCACAATTAGGTTATACCAATCGACCCTGGTGTCCCCAGAGAAGATGGCCTTGAGTCCCCAGGTCCTGTGACTCACTTTCTCAAGGTATTTGGCATTTATGACCCGTCAGGGTGTTTTTGTCTGAGACGTTCATTTTAACTTTGTGTGATAGACCACACTCATGGATCTAGTTTCAGCAACTGTAAAATGCACATGCACAAACGTTGTTGTGGCTGTTAGGTACTGCTAAGTCGCTTCCAACTCCTATCGACCTATGTACAACAGGACAAAGCATCACCCTGCCCTGGGCCATCCTCACCATTGTTGTGACCACTGTGTGCACCCATCTCATGGAGGGTCTTCCTCTTAGTGGTGGCTCCTCCACTGTACCGACCATGATGTCCCTCTCCAGAGACTGGTCTCTCCTGACAACCTGTGCAAGGTCTGTGAGACAGTCTCACCATCCCGGCCTCCAAAGAGCATGCTGGCGGTATTTCTTCCAACGCAGAACTGTTTGCCCTTTTGGCAGCCCAAGGTACTTTCAGTTTTCTTCTCCAGCCCCACAATTCAAATGTATCAATCCTCAGTCTTCTTTATTCAGTGCCCATCTAGGGCAGTTACATATTTTACTGTCAACTTGAGGAAGGGTTGGAGTCTGGCCTGTCAACCGGGTCACAGTTTGATGACCTCCTAGGGAGGCGTGATGGAGATAAATAGCTCACTGGAGGCCAGGTACATTCTTTGCAAGACATTCCTGTTGGCAAGCCACATGGGGCTATGCTGGTGGAGCCAGAGCCCTGGAGCTGGAGGAGCCACGTGGAGACCCACGCCAGCGCTGAGATGCTTCCACCGCCACTGGACCCACAGGACTTTCTACTCAGTGGCCTGTGATCTTCTTTCATTTGGCATCATTGCATGAGTCTGAAGAGGAACTTATAGATTGGTATGGGACATATAGGCTAATATCTGACTTATGGACTTGATCTGGACAGGACTGGGCCGTTTTCTTCATACACAATTACTCTTTGATACAAAGCTCTCTCTTATACACATGTGAGTGTCTCTGGATTTGTGTCTCTTGTTGACCCAGACTAACACATCAACTTTCACAAGGATTGACTATACCATGGCTTGGAGCAGGTGTACCCTAGTCCTCAAAGCAGCCCCCTTGCTTTGCAACACTTGAAAGAGGTCTTGTGCAGCAGACTTACCCAAGGAAAAGCACCCTCTGCTCTCTTGCCGCTGCTGCCGTGAGCGCTGATTGCAGATCCACGCCAGGCAAGCTCCTGGACAGCGTCCATCTTTTCTCCAGTTACACGATGTTCCGTATCGGTCCACTTGTGAGGGTTTGGGTTTTCTTTCCACCGAGTTGGAATCAATCGCGAGGGCTGCAGCCCTTGATCTTCGTCAGCAAGGGCTTCACGTCTCCCTCACTTCCAGCAAGCGAGGCTGTGTCATCTGTGCATCCCAGAGAGTTCGCTGGTCTTCCTCCAATCCTGACGCTTCATTCTTCCTCTGTCAAATCAACTGTTATGTGTGGGTGTACTTCCACTCCAATCCCACCCCCTGCAAAAACAACAACAAAAAGACCCCTCCTCTTCAGCATATCTGCCTATATGTGTAAGCACCTACGCGTAGATCGCAGTTATTACAGGACCGTGTCTCTAACAGGACTGATCTCTGTTGCCTTTAGCTCTTTTCCTCCTCCCCATGTCTTCCCCTGCCGCCATCACTTTGCCAGTCCTTCCTCTGACTGCACGCTCTATTGTATTGCATACGCTCCCCTTCCCCAAGTTCCTGAAACCGCCTGGTCTGCCTCTCCATTTGAAAATTGTGTAACCCGTCTGTTCCCTCTTTTTATTTTATAATTGTCTTTATTGCAAGTTGATATCTCCGGTTCCCTGTTTGCAGCTGTAGCCTGGCTTTCATTTGGATACTTTGTATCTAGGTTGAGTCCTGCGAGGTGGTGTGTGGCATGTACACCATCTCATATCAAGTGTAGGGGTGGAGTCTAGCCTGTCAACCTGGCCACAGCCTGACTGTGGTAGATATATAATTGTCAGTTTGAGGATTAAGAGTGTAGGGGTAGAGTCTCGCTTGTCAATCAAATCACAGCCAATGAGCCTCTGTGTGGGCATGGCCTGCTCCTGAGAATTCTGGGAAATCCAGTACTTCCTCCTTGGAGGCGAGGCGGGAGACACTTCTCTCTCTCTGCTCACACCCTGGGAGACGTAGCAGCTGACAAGACACATGGACCCACCCTGATGCAGAGACCCCTGCCAGCGCCGCCCTGATGCAGAGACCCCTGCCAGCGCTGAGATGTTTCCAATGACACTGGATCCAAGGACTTTCTCCCCACTGGCCTGTGATCTTCTACATTCGGCGTCGTTGCATGTGTTGCGTGAGTCTGAAGAGGACTTTGTAGATTGGTATCAGACATATGGGTTAATATAGGACTTAGGGACTTGATCTGCACTGGACTGGGATGTTTTCTCCATGTTCAATTGCTCTTATATATAAATGTCTTGTACACATATGTGTCCATGGATTTGTTTCTCTAGTCTACCCAGACTAACACTGACCGTGCCTCCTTGTGGGCGTGGCCTTCTCATAAGGAGGGTTCTGAGAACCCCACCCCACCCCATCCTTCACCTTTCTGCTGGGCACCATTCTGACACCTGCCAGACTCTGGATCCACTGGATCCACGAGACTTTCTACCCAATGGCCTGTGATCTTCCTGCATTGGGCTCATGGGATGTTCTTGCATGAGTCTGGAGAGGGGCTTGAGTTGGACTTGGGCTGGGTGGTTCTATGGATGAATAATCACTTCTTGATATAAAGTCCTTTCTTACACATATTTTGACAAGTGTCACTGAATTTGTTTCTCTAGTCAACATGGGCTACCATGGGGTCATATATTTTAATCTCGGGTTGAACTTGGAGATGGTGCACCTGAGGCCTAAACCATGAAGACCGAAAGCAGGGCCTGCACAGGTGAGTGTGTAGAGGCGAGGGTGGACCACGCTTGTGGTCAGTCTCCAAGGTGTGGAGAACATGGAGAGTCCCACCTCCCGTCACCAATGCGTCAGGTCACCGTCTTGATAGAATGCTGCCTGCAAGAACTAGAGATGGCTACACCGCTGACAACCGCCCGTTTGTCTCTTCCCCTTTTGTTTTCCTCCTCCTCCCTGTCTGTCTGGCTTGCTTCTGACTTTCAAAAGCCAATCGCCAATATTTGTCAGCGCATTCTGACTGCTTGTCTGATGAACATCGGGCTGCAGAAATTGGTACAACATCCTCAGTGTCTTTGTTATCAGGGGTTGGTGCGTACATTTGATAGGAAGTGGTCTAATTTGTAGCCCCGGGGATCATGAAATGTGTACAGTAGGTGCCCAATAATTGGTGAACGAGTGAGTGGGAACCGGGGCCTCCTGAAGACCTGGGAATTACACTGCTGGCAAGAGTCCAGTTAGGGGAAAAGGCATTTATGGAGAGCTAGCTGTATACCAGCGGGTAGGGAGTTTCAGAGTGTGGACAGGGTAAGTCCATTACAGGGAACACCATCCCGGACCGAGTATGCTAATGCATGCAAATACACGCAAATTATCCCACCACGGGGGCCTGGCAGCCTCTTTCTGGTCAGGCGCGCTGTGGGCAGCCTCGTCATCGCAGTGTCCCGGGGTTCAAGATGGCGCTGGCGCGGCCGCGGAGGGCCGGGCGCCGCTGCCGCCGAGTCTCCCCGAGGCCGCAGGCCGGGCACCCCGCGTCCTCTCTGCCGTCCCCCCCGGCTGCGTGTCCCGACCCGCGACGTCGGCTTCGCGGGCGCAGGCGTTTCTGATCAGGCGCGCTGCAGACAGCCCCTCCCGGAGTCCCTTGCGGCGGCGTCCTGGGGGCCTCCAGGGGCCTCGGAGCAAGATGGCGGCGGTGGGCTCCGTGAGGCACGGGCGGCGGCGACCGCGACTCCAGTGAGGGGCCCGGGGGCCCGGGCGGCTCCGGCCGGGGCCCCGCCTGGGACGGACCATGCTACGCTCCACTGGCTTCTTCCGGTCCATCGACTGCCCCTATTTGGCTGGGGCGCCCGGGGGTCCCTGCCGGCGACCCTACTGCCACTTCCGGCACC